GGTGATGCCCACATTTAGGGTGGATCTTCCCACCACAATTATCATAATCCCTTACAGGTCAACCTAGACAGTCCTTCAGAGCCACACCTGGAGGTTTGTCTTGTAGGTGACTCTAGAGCCAGTCAAGCAATATCTGCTATTACAGCCAGGGGCAAGGAAAACACTTGACCCTCTGAGAGGCTCAGGTTTGGGCTGTCTGGAATCCCCTTGGGATTGATCCTTAGATCCAGTTCTTACTTCAGCTGTAGCTGCGCTGGACAGTTCCCTGCAGTCCTGGAGGACACATACAAGCTGCAGCATCTCCACCAGTTTGCTCCTATGTTCTGATTCACCACTCAGATGTCAGCCAGTTCTTTCCCAGTGGTCTCTCTGGAGAAGACAGTCTCTGGGACTGAAATGGCCCTCTGAATGCTCTAGCTTGATATATATTACACATGTGTCTTAATTTCTCTTCTGTCGCTGTAACAAAACATCCAAGCCTTGCTAATCTATGAAGAGCAGAGGGCTGGTGTCGTCACTTAAGGAGAAAGAATGGGTTATTCTTTTGTGTTGTGCTGGGGATTGAACCAGGGCACTGCACATGCTAGGCCAGCATGCTGCCAAGTGCTAGGCAGGCATGCTTCCATTGAGCTATATCCCCAAATAATCATCCTCTCCTTTAAAAAAAATTACTTTAAATATGTGTATGTTGTGTGTGAGAGCATGCACATGCGAGTGAAGGAACCAGTGGAGCAGGAGCCGGGTTTCCTGGAGCTGAAGCCACAGGTGGTTTTGAGCCCCCTGATATGGGTGCTGAGAAGCAAACTCAGGTCCTCTGGGAAAGTAGCATGTGCTTTTAATCACTAAGCCATCTCTTCAGCCTTCTTCTTTTCTGACACTTCTGTCATCAAGAAGACCTCAGCCCCATGACCTCAGAAAAACCTAGTCACTTCCCAAAGGCCCCATATCCACAGGACATCAGCAGAGAGCAGAGAGAACAAGTTCCCACCCCATCAGTTTATTTGGGTCACACAGCCAATCCACACACCATCTGTTTCATAAGCTCCGTGTGCCCCCCCCCCCCCCATGCAGTATCTCGATTCCTTCCTCTACCATGGCAAACATGGCTCAGGCTTTCCCAGACTATCTTACTGACACTTTCCCAGTGAGTTTGCCTTCTTTATGGGTCCTCAGGCTCCCTTGAACAGGAAGTGAGTCCTGTGTTCTGACAGCGCCCCAGATCAGTGGGTTCGTCTTTGTCTAGTTGTATATTCTGGAATCCTTCATTCATCTTGTGAAAATCAAACACTTGGAGTCCTCCCTGTGTTCCTGCTGAGGCCTGGTAAATAAACCTGCAGGGTCTGTTTTTACCCCTTTCCTTCGTCCAGGCAAGGTTGGGTCCGAGACTTTGCTCAGTGGTGGTGCAGGGACCCAAGGCCTCACCCACGCTAGGTGAACATCCCACCTCTAGCTGTCCCTCTAGTCCCAACACTTGTTTTGGTGCAGAAGCCAAGCAAGGAGGAGCAGATAGTGAGGGCATAGGGGGAAAAGATCTCTGAGCCAGCACAAAGGAAAAGCTCTCTGCCACTGTGGGCTTCAGAGGGCTCTCAGGACCCCATGTTTTGGCTCCACAGAGATCAGCTGTATTGAAGAATGTGCTTGCACATGACAGAACAACACATTTAGACACTTGAGTTTAAGCTGTCCTCCAAGGGCCAGATGGCTTTAGCAACTGCAAACAGGCTGGAGCCCACAAACTGTCACACTGTAGCTTCTCTCCACTGTCACACAAGACAAGTGCAATTTCAAACAGAAGGATTCATGCTTGTCCTCTCACACTCCAGAAACTTCCAAACCAAAGCCAACAAGAATTTCCCTGTATTCCCAGTACATGTGTAAAACAGTCTCTTCCCAGAATTCTATTGGAGTGACTTTGTTCAATAGAAATTAACCACATAGTGGGATGGATCTTCTTTAGAAAATTAGCTATCCTGGGTTTTGAATTTGTGTCTATCTTAATGAGTGCACGTACCAAATACTCTGAAAAATTTTAACCCCAGGACCTAGCTTGATTTTTTTATGTAGCACATTTTTATTTTGCAGTGAGGACAGGGTACATGCCATGGAGTGTGTGAAAGAATATGGGTTAGAGGACAACTTGCAGAAGCTAACTCTGTAATGTGGGCCCAGGGATTGAACTTAAGTTCATGAGTCTTGGTGTCAAGAACCTTTATTCATTGAGCCATCTCACCAATGCATTTTTGTTGTTGCAATACTAAACATTGAATACAGAGCTTCATGTATGAAAGTTATATCCCCATTTAGGATCCATCTTTTAATAGCATAACACTGCTGTGGAATATTCCTTTTGTATACTGTAAAGGTTTATCACTCAAATTGGTTTAATAAAAAGCTGACCAGCCAGTAGTCAGGCAGGAAGTATAGGTGGGACAACCAAACTAAGGATTCTGAGATGAAGAAGGGCAGAGTCAGGGGAGACACCAAGAGATGCAGAGGAAGCAGGATGTGCAGAAAATGAGGTAACAAGCCATGAGCCACATGGTAGAGGGCAGATAAGAAATTCGGGCTAATTTAAAATGTAAGAGTTAGCTAGTAATAAGCCTGAGCTATTGGCTGAGCATTTGCAATTGATATTAAGTCCCCACATTGACTATTTGGGAACTGGCCAATAGGAAAGAAAAGTCTGCCTACATATCACCTTTTCCATAGAGGAGCTTCACTTCCTGCCTTAGGTTGTATTCTCTGGGGCAGAGAATCATGAGCAGCTTCTGCTTGGAACCCCACCTGGGAGATAAGCCCACAAGGAGATATAGAGAGCTACATACCAGGGGCAGGCTGGTCACCTGTAGCTGGACCTCAGCTAACCCTGAAGGTGCCTTCTGGCAGAAATGGCTTATCAGAGCATTCAGGCAAAGGGGAGGTAGTCTACAGAACTTGGAAAGGCCTCCCATTGGGACAGCACACAGTTTGCTAGGGGAAGCTCACTTCCCAAGGAGGAAGTCCATGAGTCCTCACCAGCTAAGCTCTGAGTCTTAGTTACATTTCTGCTGCTGTGATAAAATGTCCTGGAAAAGGTCAGCTGCTGCCTAGAGTCGTGTCTGGGTCTGTGGCCTTATAGCAGCTGGGGTCTGTGTTGATGTCTGTGGCCTGCGTCACCTCAGGAGGCTATAGAATCCATGTGTGATGATATCAGAGGACCATGCTGACCCAGTTCAGCCCTATGCTGGCTATCTGGGAAAGCGGACCCTGCCTCTTGCTGAACACTGTAGCAAGAGAGCGGCCCCCCACCCCGCACTCAGGAGAGATGGCCCCACCCCTCACCACAGCTGAGGGGGAACTGACACTAACAGCAGGAGCATAGGGGAGCAGGCTCCACCCCATCACCCGAGTCAGGGGCCCCAGGAGCCGGAACTGACCAGCTCAGCTACCACCCATGTCCATAGATCAGCCTTGGCTTGGCCCACTGTAACATCTACCCCATCTAGGACCCACTGGTTCTGTGGAAGATACCCGCAGAATCTCCATGGCTGGGTTTTTTTTTTTTTTTTTTTTTTTTTTTTTTTTTTTGAGACAGTGTCTCACTAGGTAGCCCCACCTACCTTGAACTCACAGAGCTCCTCCTACCTCGAGATCCAGATCTGGGATTAAAGGCTGAGCTGTCACAGTGCCCTTGCTTTTCAAGTTCCATGGAGTGTTTTCCTTTTTTTTTTCTTAAGAATTAAAAAAAAATTATTTTATGTGTATCAGTGTTTGCCTGCTTGTATGTCTGTGCATCACATAAGTACCTGGTGCCTGTGGAGACCAGAAGAGGGTGTCATATCCCCTGAAAATGGAGTTTCTATCAGCTGTGGGAATCAAAGCGGGTTCTTGGTCATGGCTGAGCCGGCTCTCCAGATCCTTCTCAGTAGAGAGTTCAGTAGAGCCTCTGGAGAGACTCCTGCAAGCCTCTTTCTAAGTGTTGGGAAACAGGCAGCCTAGCTCCACACCTCAGCCTTCTCTGAGAGCAGGACAAACAGCCATCTATGTCTTCAAGCAAGGTCACTGAGCTCCCCTCCGTAGGAGGCAATTATGTACTGAAATCTGGAGGGGGAAAACAGTGGTAGACCAGATTGTTAGTTAAGTGCCTCACTCGGGACACTTGTGCACAATACCCACTGGAGACCAAGGTGCGGCTCGGGGGTCTCAAAATCACCTGGAGAAGGTTTCAGGAAAGTTTATTAGTTAACTGGATCCGGGCCACTGACCAATTGGTAAAGAGCGACTGGACCTTGGACAGCCACCAAGCTGAGTGTTAGGTAGGCGGCAGCACCGTGGACAGCTCCAAGCACACCCGCTCCGGGAGCCAGGGGCGGGGAGAGGCGGCTCCATCAGCTGATGCCTTACGTAGCGCCGGATCCCCAATTCGCTAAGGCAGGTCCGGGTGGGCGCGCCAGCGCGTGTTTTCGGAGTAGCAGCCCCAGGCACGGTGGAGAGAGGCCAGGTCAGGGCAGAACACCATCTCTAGAAAGCCGGTACCTGCGTGGCTTTCCCAGCATCCGGCTGTTCCCCAGGGAGTCACTGCCCAGAGAAAGGGATGGCGGGCAGGCAGGGAGCAACCCTGGACCAGCGACTGTTCTGACGCACCAGCCGGTTTCCAAGCATCCACCCTCCACGGAACTCATCCCAAGGATGCTCTGCTGCGGGCGACAAGACAGCGGTCTCCGCCGAGGTGAGGAAACGCAGACATGTGATAGCTTAGGCGGGCCCTGGCTTCTAGACTCTGCCCCTTGAGTCCGCTTTCCAAATTTCTAAGGATACCGAGACTGTGCGGCTTGCAGTCTAGCACCCTCCTCTCTGCCAGCCAGCGTCTCCTCCAGACTCTTCCTGATTGGGTACTGGGGCCAGGTTCACCGGCTCTTGACAGAATCCTCTCCACTGGTCAGTTGTCGCAAACATTTCTAGATTGACTCCAGTGGGCTCGGTGGCTACACAATCTGAACGCAGGTGTCTTGGGGCCGGCAATGGATCTGCCTGTAAACTTGACCTCCTTTTCCCTCTCCACTCCCTCCTCTTTGGAACCCAACCGCAGCCTGGGCGCAGAAGACCTGCGTCCTAGTCGGCCGTTTTTCTCAGTTTTCCGAGTGCTAGTCCTGACATTGCTGGGCTTTCTAGCCGCGGCCACGTTCGCTTGGAACCTGCTGGTGCTGGCCACCATCCTCAGGGTACGCACCTTCCATCGCGTGCCACACAACCTGGTGGCGTCTATGGCCATCTCGGATGTGCTGGTGGCCGCGCTGGTCATGCCACTGAGCCTGGTGCACGAACTGTCCGGGCGCCGCTGGCAGTTGGGCCGGCGGCTGTGCCAGCTGTGGATCGTGTGTGACGTGCTCTGCTGCACAGCCAGCATCTGGAATGTGACAGCCATAGCCCTGGACCGCTACTGGTCTATCACACGCCACCTGGAGTACACGCTCCGTGCCCGCAAGCGAGTCTCCAACGTGATGATCGGACTCACCTGGGCACTCTCTGCCGTCATCTCTCTGGCCCCACCGCTCTTCGGCTGGGGGGAGACGTACTCCGAGCTCAGCGAGGAATGTCAGGTCAGTCGCGAACCTTCCTACACCGTGTTCTCTACCGTGGGCGCCTTCTACCTGCCGCTGTGCGTGGTGCTCTTCGTGTACTGGAAGATTTACAAGGCCGCGAAGTTCCGCGTGGGCTCCAGGAAGACCAACAGCGTTTCCCCGGTTCCCGAAGCTGTGGAGGTGGGTGCTACAAGGATCGCTAAAAATATTTCACTTGCATCTCTGCTTTCTTCACAGCACGCTTCCCCCGACGTCTATGAAAGGTGAAACGCTTCAGTTTAGGGAGATGTAGGCAAGGGAGGGTGCAAGCGCTAGAGACTCCCTTTGCTCCAAGTTCTGAATTACAGAAACCCTCCCGTGTTGAGTGTCTCTGGTGGATCTTTTTTTTTTTTTTTTAATGTGGAAAACGTGGGGGTTGTGTTTCATGTCCTAAAGAGTCCACTTTGGCACTGAAGCTCTGTGGATGGTCAGCACTCCTTGTAGAACTTCTGGAGAAGCTGGTGTCTGGAGGACACTGCCTCAGTGCTCCAGAAAACAAAACAAAACTTCCATTTTTCTGCGTTGATAGTGAGGGTTTCTGAGGAGGGAAGATTAGGATGATTGCCACATGGCGAGCACATCGCTTGTGTTGTATTCTAGGCTATTTAGCAGCTATAATTTCAGGGTGTCATTCTTCAGTGTCCTGTCCAGATTAAAGACAACTGTTTACTCTCATCTTGGTGCCTGCATTTGTTGTCTGTGATCCTTGCATTATGGTGTGTGCCATTGCTTTCTGGGCCTATGTACTGCAACCTTACCAGGCCATGGGCACCACTGAGGACCACCTGGCCTGTTTGCTTTCCCTTTGAGTAATAGAAAGGAAGAAGTCCGAGTTTCAGGACAGACAGCTAGCTCCCCAGCTCCCTACAACTGGCATTTGAGACAGACAAGCCCTGCAAGGAAGTCCCGCTTCTATCCTCTGCCAGCCCTCTCCTTAACTCCTGGAAATCTGACTTGGTGATTTAGTTTCTCAAGCTCCACGAAAAGGCGCCAGCTCCCAACCTATTGCTGAAAGCCTCACTTGTGTACTGAAGCTAGATCAGACAAGGATCCGGTCCCAGCTTTCTGATGCTGGGCTCTGGGACAGCAGAATACTCTGAGTGCGCTGAGTGTGTCCTACTAGCTTGTACCTTGTCAGCATGGCTGCATTTCTAGTCATCCAAGCCTAGGGCATGATGGGTGGAGGTAGGGGAAGGGGGTATCAATTTTGGTTTTTAGAATAAAGAAGGACTACCTAGAACAGTAGGCCTTCACCAAGGACGATGTCTGGACTGCCTGGTGATTTCTAATCTCACAGGTTGGACCCACAACAAAAAAATTCAGGGATCAACATTCATAGAACTGAATTTTGGAAACTAGTGTATCCACCAAAGAGCTTGGAATTAGGTTCCAAGTAGCCTTAGGCAAAGGGATCTTGGGCTCCACCTCTAATTTCCCTGGTAACAGAAAGCCTTGTAATTCCTAGGAATTTAAATTACCATATAAAAAGGTGACGGTTGTTCTATGCCTAGCCTGAGGGGAGAGCTGGCATTTCAAGCAGTCAAAAAGGAGTTGGTAGGGGTAAATCCCCCCCCCCCCCCATGAGACAAGGTTCTTTTCCTTTCCAGAGCCCCCTCCCTGCTGCAGCCCCTTTTCAGGATCAGCACAGTATAACCTTTCCCCTTTTCCTCTTTCTTTTAGACACTGGCTAAAAGGCCAAGTGTGCTTTCCCTGGTACTCTGGACTCGTTCACTTTCTCTCTGAAGCCCCCTCTCCTGGCACCCTGTGGCTGCTTCCTGCCTGCTGTGGCAAACAGCATGACTTCCTCTCTCCCTCTTCTCCATCTCCCGTCCCTTGGCGCCTCTGAGATTCACACCTCACCCTGTTGTTTTCCTTTTGAACTCTAATCAAATTGTCCCCAACTTCCTCTCTAGTCTGCTTCTAAATTCTTTTTACGAATGATTGATGAGACTGAGAGCCTAAAAACCGAGCCTCAGTTTCCCCAAGCACACACACAGACCCCAATTATGAACAAGAGTGACACTGGGAAGTTGGGATCCCCTTTTGGGGGGTTTTGGTCTCATTATTAAAATAATTTAAGAATAGACTCAAATGGGAACACAAAGACAATTTTAGCATTTAAAAGAAAATCTCGGAGGCAGGCAACCCTTGAAACCTCAGCTGCTGCCCAGAGAAGGAGGAGAGGAGGGAAAAAGTCATTCGGTTAAGCCTGTATAGAGGTCAGATGGAAGGTGGACTGGAGGCCACAGGGTGAGAGGAGGCTTTAGGAAGAGTAAGGAAGCCCAAAATGTTGGGGCGGAGGGAGCACAAAGTGTTAAGGAAAGCACACTTAGAAAAGAAACAGAGGCTGAGCAGTGGTGATGCACACCTTTAATCTTAGGCAGAGAGACAGATGAATATCTGTGAGTTCGAGGCCAGCCTGGTCTACAGGCGATTTCCAGGACAGGCTCCAAAGCTACAGAAAAACCCTGTCTCGAACCCTACCCTAAAAAGAAAAGAGACAGATGATGAAAAGGAGAAATTACACTTAGAAAAGGAGGCAGCAGAACAATGTGGTTGTAGCTTAGTAAGCTATTGTGCTGGGTCAGGGACTGGGGGAAGGCTAAGCTCAGTATCTCATTAAAGGACCAATTACACACCTACCCACCTCTAGGAAGTCTCATTTCTAGGGGTTGTTTCTTGGCCAAATGAATGACTCTGCCCAACTGAATGTTAGGTCTCAGATTCAGGTCAGAGATTCTAGTCTTTTGATTGGTTTTGGTTTGTAATGTTTTGTTTTCTCCTGTAACGGAGGGGAGATGCTGGGTTGGTTCAGTAGTGACTGGGAGGTCAGGGCTCATTGCAAGTCGTGAGATAAGACTGCCAGCCAAGGGAACAAAACTTTGATCACTGAACTGAGAGCTAGGGAACATGGTTCAGTCAGTGTGTATTTATTTATTTATTTATTTTAAAAACATTTATTAGGGGACCAGAGAGATGTCTCAGTTGTTAAGAACACTAGCAAGCAGCTCTTCCAGACAACCTGGGTGGGATTTTCAGCACCCACATGGCTCACAACCTTCTGTAACCTGAGTTCCAGGGGATCAGATGCCCTCTTCTGGCCTCTGAGGCCACTGCATGCACGTGGTGCACAGACATAAACAGGCAAAACATTCCTATATTAAATAATTAAAAACAAGCATTTTGCAAGTGCCCATGGAGGCCAGAAGAGGGTGCTGGTTCCCTTCCTGCTCTCTGTGTATCCCTCTATGGACTGATCTCTCTTCCCTAGTACTGGGATTAGAGGTGTATCTCACCATACCCAGTTTATTTGGTGCTCAAGATTGTACCTGAGGTTTGCACATTCCATAAGCATGCTACTAACTGACCTCAGTACATTTTTCTAATCTTATGTGTATGGGTGTTTGTCTATATGTATATCTGTGCACTACATGTGTGTCTGGTGTGGAGGTTAGAAAAGGGTGTTGGATCTCCTAGTGGTGGAGTTAGAAATGGTTGTATGAGGCCAGGTGGTGGTGGTGCACACCTTTAATCCCAGCACTCGGGAGGCAGAGACAGGCGGATCTCTGTGGGTTTGAGGCCAGCCTGATCTACAAGAGATAGTTCCAGGAAAAAAAGAAAGAAAGAAAGAAAGAAAGAAAGAAAGAAAGAAAGAAAGAAAGAAAGAGAGAAAGAAAGAAAGAAAAGAAGTGATTGTGTGAGCTTCCTTGTGGAAGCCAGGAATTGAACCCAGGTCCTCTGGAAAAGGAGCCAGTGCTTTTAACCACTGAACCATCTCTCCAACCCCTTTACTATTAACTTATACTGTTAATGTTTTTTAAATATGTTTATTTATTACATATACAATGTTCTGCTTGCATGTATACTTGCAGGCCAGAAGAGGGCACCAGATCTCATTACAGATGGTTGTGAGCCACCATCTGGTTGCTGGGAATTGAACTCAGGACCTCTGGAACATCAGGCAGTGTTCTTAACCTCTGAGCCATCTCTCCAGCCCATACTGTTAACGGTTTAAAAGAAAATGTTTCTGGGGACTCTGATCCAGCTGCATGGGTGCATTGGGCTGCAGTTTCTCTTGTTTGTGGGGTGTCTATAGGGACTCCAGGCCCCTTGCTGTCTTTTCGGTAATGCTCTGATCTGTAGTGCGAGCATTCTCAGCACAATCTCCTCACGAGTGGCAGCACAGTCGACTGGAAGCAGACAATACTCATCAAACTCTGGGATAATCACGGAGATGAAAGAGGTTCTCACCACCGGAATCCAGGTTCCCTCAAACCTTTGAAAACTGTGCTACATAGCCACAGATTCATTTATTCTTTCTTTCTTGTATCACCCGGCACAAACAAATCATTTTTTCTATCTGTTATTTGTTTGTGGTAGGGTCTCTCTATACAACACAGGCTAGCCTGGAATTCCTTGTATAGCCCAGGTTGGCCTTAAACTTGAGAATCTTCCTTCCTTAGCTTCCAAAATAGATTACAGCACATACTATGCCCAACAACTAAGTATTTAGTTTTCTAGGCTTACTTTTTTTTAATTTACTGCAAACCAACTTCCCTCTGCCTATCAGATGTCTTGTTTTTTCATTGTTTTACGTTTTGTGTATGTGTGTATTGTGTGTGCGTGGGTGTGTTTGTTTGTGTGTGTGTATGTGTGTGCCTCCGTGTACATGTGGAAGCCAGAGGACAACCGGCCAGAGTAGGTTCTCTGTTTCCAAACAGTGGGCTCCAGGGATCAGACTTAGGTCATCAAGGCTAGCGGCAAACACCTTTACCTGTTGAGCCAACCTGCCAATCTCAGATAACTTTTCCTTCATTTATTTTTTTAATTATTTTATTTTATGAGTTATAGGTGTTTTGCCTGTGTGTATGTATGTATACCATGTGTGTCTGGTGCATGCAAAAGCCAGAAGAGGGTGTTGAATCCTCTGGAACTGGAGTTACAGACAATTCTTGTCTGCCATATGGATGCTGGAATCAAACTTGGGTCTTTTGCTTGAACAGTTGAGCAGTGTACACTTTTTGTTTTTGAGGCAGGGCTTCTCTATATAGCCCTGGCTGTTCTGGAACTCACTATATAGACCAGGCTGGCCTCAAACTGGAGATCTGCCTTCCTATGCCTCCCGAGGGCTGGGATTAAAG